TCAGTCGTTATTTCTTTTTGAAGCTTCTAAAAAGCTGATATTCCTCTTAAATTAGAGAATCATGAACGTGATTTTTCAGCAATGTATCGGTTTTAGCCACAAAATACATCAGGAGATCAAACTCACTCTGCAACTTTTACATGTTGAAAGTTATTTCTTTCATATTATATACTCAATACCTCGGTGTATAAACGTTCTTCGTTAATTCCCGCCTGGCATCTTTAGTTAAAGTCGGAGTGTCTAACCCTAAACATGTGTTAAGTTTCATCTACCAACCCACATGCTTTAATTAGAAAGCTTCTTCTTGATAATTCTTTACTTACATCCCGTTCTACGTTTAATTTGCTAAGGTGGAACCAAAAAGTAAGAAAAATATATTGCTAGCTTTTACTGGTTTCTATACACGGTATAGTTAGGCCTACAGCCCGATGGTATTTAGCACTCATCCTCAATTTCCTCAGTGTAACATACTAACATAAAATTTATTGGAATATGATTGACAATCACAATTTTTTTTTGTAGGAGAAGTGGAGCGGCAAAGCCGATCAATTACAATAAAAAATGTTATCGTGTCAAATGATTGTTTTTGCTTAAGGAGCAGATTTGGATAAATAACAAGGCATCTCATGAACCGCTCTTTAGCCATGATAGGGCAATGGCAGCCATCTTTCAAATACTCGTCATGAGGGCACTCTCCGTACGATTTGGTCAAAAACTTCAGAGAATGAAAGTTCTCTGACTTGTCACTGGAAACAAAATCACGTTAACTTTCGTATCTATTCGCTCTGTGTTCATATCCACCCCACTACTTGTAATTTTGCGAGTAGGATTTAGGTGTCAGGGCTGAGTTATTAATATACTAGAGCCCAACTACAAAACTGTTCATAAAGTATTTGCAACGTAGTGATATTTTTCCAAGCTTACATCAACATCTTGAAATATGTCTACCAAAGTCCTCGGGGGTAGGATGACTAAGATATTTCTATATTTATGTATAGAATTATGGTTACATAAGTGCAGCACTTTGGTGTTTTCATCTCAGAATGAAGAATATCGGTTCTTTGTATTTTGTGGTTATGCCACTTCTATAAAATAATGCCGAATGATTATAAATGCATGCAATTGAGTTTGGAATAGATTGCAGATAGCCATGCCGCTTAGATTTTACAAACACATTCACAAAGGGCAAAAAGTTACAAATCTTACCTTCAGGTATCATTCCATTCCAGTCAATATGTGGTCACTGAAAGTCTATGTATGGTAATTATGAAGTTTTTTTTTATTTCAACCAAATTCATCTAACAATTTTACTGAAATGAAACGCAAAACACTCATCAAAATTATACCTCAAGTTATATTTCGACTGTTCTCGATATGCCTGTGTATTTCAATGTGATTTTGTCAACGTTATTCCTTATTCAGTCTCCAATCACTCTAACGCGGTGCTCCCATTCTTCTACGACATATCCTCGTTGTTTAAAGGTCATACAAAGTTTTGGGAAATTTTGAAAATTGGCTGGATAATAATAATAATAATAGCTAGTTTTTATATAGCGCTTTTCAGGACCGATAGTGATAGTGATTCTTTAAAATTTTAATATATTTGGATGCCCCTGTGGATTTTTTTTTCATCACTAAAAAAATTAGCCCCTAAAACACTCCTGCTTTCGAGAAAAATTGAATATAAACATTGACCTTTCAACGTTTTTGACCATAGCGCCCTCATTTAAGGTCGGAGGTATAGCAAACTATACATTCCTGGAATCCTCGTGACCAGACAAGTAATTTGATATGCATATCGACACGATTAGAATATATTTGAATTTCTACCACTGTTTGACCTTTGTTGACCCCTCACGAAAATGCCTGGGATTTTCAATGGGGCAGCCCAAGACAAAAAAAAACACTTTGAAACTTTTGTTCCCAGAGATTGGTCAAGGGACCTACAGGCTGGTCTCCTACTAAATAGCTTATCAGTCGATTTTAGTCAAGAAACATTGTTTTATAGCTTAATTAATATCTTGACCTTAAGAGGGAGCTATACAACAGAGTTTATTATTTACAATTTCATAACTTTAGACTCGATTTCAACCGCGAGAACGAGCACTGAATATTGTAGGGTCGCATATGCTTCTAATATGTTAACCAAATTTTAACCAAATTCATGACCCCGTACCAAAACCTTGTATTACCTTTAAGGGAATAAAGCGAATACCGTATGGCGTACGTGGACAAACTTTTGAAAAGGAAGAGGCTTATTTTAGTTAATCGCGCCAAATCGTCAATTGTAAATTATTGCATATTAAATATAGTAATACTTTGCAGAAACTGATTATGGAATTAAAAAGTAAGGAACAACGTACCAGACAGCAGCACATATGATGCAAATTAGGAGAGCGGTGAGGAAGGCGGTGAGAAGAGGGGTCATGGGTGGTGAAATGGCTATAGCAGTATTACCCTGTCCACTAGTCATTGGGTAAGAAGGATCTACATGTTGTTTTTTATGTTTTATAAGAACAAGACACGAAGTGAAAACATCGATAATCAGTTGGCAGTCAGTCATGCTAATGTAAAAGGTGTAAACTATCACAATAAATACTTTTACTGACTCCTGAACTCTCTTCACTGTGAGATTTATATTGTGAGAAGTCGTAGATTATAAATCAAATTTGGGTCTCGCAGCAGAATGGAAATTTCATAGACATTTATATAGAGTAATACATATACTGTAAATGTATAATATAGTGGAAAAATCTTTGTATTAACTCTTTTTACAACCGTCACGGAAGATTTTCCAAATCAAATTATTTATAATATTTATATTTATATATAAAGATATAAGTTAATCTTGATCCCTCAGTTATTTTCCAGGATTGGCGAGCAAAAGCGGTTTATAATCAACTGACTTTCCGGTGAAAAGAAAAAACAAATCACTGAGACAAAAAATGGTGTTCTGGTTCTAGTTAGCTTATTAAAAGTACTCATATATATAATACCCTTTAAAATGTAAATGTTACAATATCCAGATCCTAAATATTGGTGGTTTAGTGGGCACTCTAAGAAAAAATGGTGCAAACCGATGTAACACTGGCAGCACCTTTAGGGGTTAGATCTTGCACCCTTTTAAAGGTGCAATCGTGTACCCTTTAAAAGGGTGCCAGATTGAACCTTTTAGGGGACCTGTTAGTACCCTTTATGGTTCAATCCTGCACCTTTAGGGGTGGAAACCGATGCATCACTAGCAACACCATTATGGGTTCAATCCTGCAACATTAGGGGTGCAAACCGATGCAATAACAGCACCTTTAGGGGTTTAATCCTGCACCATTTAAAAGGTGCAATCCTGCACCCATAATCGAGGAATAATCATGAAATTTGCTCGTACACAAAAACATATTAAACATGCATGTTGTCTCTTGGTGAGTAATTATATAATCAATATATCTATTGCTAAAACGTGAATGTAATTGTACCATGATCAGACAAATTATTCTATTGGTTAATGATTGCCGAAGGAAAATACAAATCACAAAATTGATGTGCATTGTCATAATTTGCTTTAAAAAATCATGATAAATGTATTTGTATGTGAACACGTGTAAAGTAATCATGAATATGCATGCAATATGCAAACTTTTATTTCGCATCCTTTTTTGGTCGATAGGGATCGTTTTTGTGGGAAGGGTTCACAATCTAATATATTGCACCCTTTTGTTAACCCCTTTTCCTTCAGTAGGGTTCGCTTATATGTAAAGGGTGCAAAATCTTATTTTGCACCCTTTTTTCTTAAAGTGTGGGTGCAAATTTCTTTACATATGAGTTTGACGTGGCATTTTTTTTCTTCTGATAAAGTGTTTTAAACAAATTTGATAATTCTGTATTTGACAAACGGGAGAGTTTTCGCATGACTACGTCAAAATCTACTGGCTAATTTCAAATTAGTATAGATAGAGTTATCTTATATTTCAAACATTCAGAACTCTCTTTTTGGCCTGATTTCGTCATATTTTTGTCCTATTTTTCTGCTTCTATACCAACGAAGTTATTAATTATTATAAGTGTTGAATTGCCCTATGAGTGACGTTTAGGGTATAATCATGGTTAATTTGTTTCGGTTTTTGTCTATTAGGTTTGTTCACTAACGTCTGAGAGTGTCGTTTTATCGTGTTTTTCCCCTGTCAACAAGGTCTTTTTAGCAGTGCTTGCGGTTACCATTCTCTCCAAGGTCCATAATCTAAGATACGAGTCATGAATCACCACTAACCATAGGAAAACCTCCCATGTGTCCCATAACTAAAGTAACCATTATTTAATGTATATATTTTCGTATGGGACATGTTTGAAGGTTTTCCTATGTTTATTAAATATAACATACTTTTCATAAATTTGCAATCTGTACTTTTTTTAACAACTACAACATTTTAATTGCGATGAAATTTATCTATATTTGCATCTATTTTGTTAGCAAATGATAACAATTTTCTTCATCTGATGGCAATGCTTAGCCACTGGAAACATGTTGTCTGATGACTAGTTAACATGTTGTGTAATGTAATTATATTTTATGTTTGAGTATTTTGAGCGAGGAATAGGAATTCATAAAATCTTAGGGGAAGAAAAAAAAAAAGGCGAATTTAGATTCTGTGGTTAAATAATTCCCCTTCATTGATGGGGGGTCATCATGATGTAGATCATCTCCTTCCGAAAACCCAAAACAACCTGAACAAATGTAAGATATTCGGTATAAGGAATTGGAGGTGAAAATAAACGAAAAATGGCATCTGACAGGTATGCCACTCCAGAAGATAACGTATGGTGCGTGATGTCACATGCATGTTATATGATTATGGTTTGTTACTTCTAAAATATAAGAAAATAATACGATCAGAAAAACTGCATAAAATAGCATGGAAGTGGTAAGTATGCAAAATAATTCTTGTAACCCATCTCTGGTGGTGTCCTATCCTGCGAAAACGGCTCAGAATGTGTATATATCTTACCTTGTGTTGTTTCAGCGAAGGTACCTGATGTACTATCTATGAATCATGAACATAAGTATACAAGTTCAATCCCATATTCGTCAGTGGCGTACATGTTTGAGTTTTGTTTTAAAGGCAATTTTTAACAATGTTAAATCTGAGATGCAGGGCCCTACGTGCTATCAGTGTCTGTGATATGGTGTAATATTGAAGCCCTACAACAATTCAAAATGATCATGAACTGCCTCAAAAAATTAAAAATCTTTGAGTGACCGGTTACACCATACTCGTTTTCCTTAATAGACTGTGGTGTTATAATAACCGTCAGGAAAACGAAGTTTTAAATTACGATTTCCGATCATAAATATCTTGATAATCAGACAGGCGATCGGCTTATACTAGTCAGTGGGTTCCTGACTGACCTAACGGTTTATAATTATCATTGCAGCATGAGCTAAATCCAGGATTTTGTTTTAGAATCTGAGACAAAGTTACCCAATCCCCTAATGAAAAGACCAAATGAGTTATAAGGCGTCAGCCTTATATCCCAACAGATTGATAAACATCTGAAATAAAGAAAATATATAAAAAATACTTTGAACCAAAAGAAATGTTGTTCTGCAAACAGCATGCAAATAATCTCTCTACGTTTTAAATATCAAGATCTTCATATCAACGGTTAAATGCAATGAGCTTGTTTGTATTGAATATGTGCTATTATGGTGTCATAATTCTGACATTCTGATAACACTGCAGAAAAAACGGCTTTTATCAAATAAATAAATGATTTCCCCCGCCAACGTACTGTAACTCTTCTTTTTTCAGGTTTTGCTTCCACAAGATTTAATGTACGGCATCCGAGCGTGCAAGAAATAAAATGTGCAATGTAAAATGTTATTGTAAACACATAAGGACATTGCAAGATGTTAGCTTGGTAAGTGTGTCTGACCAACGTTGGGGCTTGTGCATTTGTAAATGCTAATTTCTGGTAATTATTATTGGATGTGTAGTATTTGATCGTGGTATGCAAAGCCTTGTCGACGTTTGGTTTTCAAAAATATTTTGCCCGAAAGTTGTTTGGATAGAAATTTACCCTCATTTCGTCCAATCCAACACATAATTTCTTCATTTAAATGATAAGGCCTGTTCATAAATTTCATAACTTGATTTACACAAGTACAGCATCAGATGTAAATTGAATGAGGAAGTGTCGTGCTGGGAGCCATAATTTCTAGGTGCTGTACTTGTGTGATATATAGTATAATAGTGTCGTCCATCACTCAGAATCATTTTTCAAAAGTCTGCTAAAGAAATCAGGTTGCTAGTAGAAATAATAATGTAAATTATTCGCGTTTACATTACTATTATATAGGGCATATTAAGATTATTCGCCTCTACACACTGATTTGTAATTAGCGACAGATCAGGCATGGCAGTACCTGCCTTCAGTTTAGAATGTGCAGTGCGTCTCGGAAAAAAACGGAACCGAGAATTAGCGATGTCTTATCATAACTTAATGACAATTATAATTATTAAATGCCACATGTTTGTAAAACTTAGATCCTTTTCTATCATTTGATGCAACACATATAATGCATTTTTCACGCATGAGTGATTAAAATCAATTTGAAGAGAGGAAACCATAAAGCCATTTGGCGGACGGTATCTGAATTTTAAAGAGAAAAATCACATTTCTAGACAAATCAGTTTTTGCCCTTTCATACGACACTTCAATCAGGAAAAAAGAGCAAGGAATAACAAAGTTCTGTTTGTTTAAAGTGATGCTTGCATTTCCATAATTCGATTTTAAAAGTTCGTTTTCACTGGCCGCCCGCCTGCCGTAGCAACAAGCAGATTTGACAACTTAACTCCGTTTCGTTCTAAAATCAGGCATGCATGAATTCTTTCGTCTATGGCTGATCGTCAACGAAATGGATTTAAGTCTTTTGTCAATTTAGTTTGTAACGTTGATAAAAATGTCCCGGTTTAATTTGTGTTACTTAGTTCAAAATGAACAGAAATGAAAAAAGAAACAAACTTATTATAGTAATATGTAAGAGTTGTACGCTGCAAAAGTAGTGTAATTCAAATGTGATGTTAGACATGGCTTCTTAGTCTTAGTATCGATTTTCCCATTATGAAAAGAACGATGGAGGTAGCAATCGTTATTTCCTTTTTTTGAAACTTAACATGCTCCATGTTTTGAATTTCTATGTGCCCTGGAATATGAAAGGTAATATAAATTCACTTATATCTATAGCTTCAATTGCCCCCTCAGGCCATTGTTCGTTTTTGAGGTTGGTACTCTGTTACATGTAAAGCCTATATTAAAATCATGGGAATTTTTTATAATATGCCGTTTCTAAACTGAACTTTCAAAGGATTATATTTGTTATGACGTTTTCTTTGATGGGATGCCTAGACAGTTAATATTGTAAGGAAGTCATTTTCCGCCTTTCATTTTCATTTGAACTACACTTTCTTGTCTTTCAAATGTATTTTAAAGTCATATTTCAACAGACTGGGCTATATAATATAGGTTTTCCTGCCCAATTTCATCAGAGTTGCATTCGAATTCATTAATAGACGTTCAAGTTCGAACGATTTTCGTCAACTCTCTGCTCTCATGGTTCATTTTCATTCTTTGGTCATTCAATTCGTTTTATATCATCCCTTTGAAATGTTCATGTCATTCAATTTAGAGAGAAATCCATTCAATTATTTAGTGACGCGAAGTTGTCATTCAATTTCGCGACAGCTGGATAGACGTTATATACACCCAGTTCTGGACGTAGGCTTTGATTCGACATCGTGTTTAACGAGGGAAGTTAGTTTGGATTCTAACTTTTTCTTTGTTAAACATACTCTTAGACTTCTGGTCGAGTTAAAGGGATGTAGTAAAATACGGATATATGTTTCTTCTGCAGTATTTCTTTTAAAGTTCAATCTTGATTTACCTGATCATCATTTAATTTGTTTTACATATAGATTTATAAATATATTACTTTAAATAAATTCCTAGAGCAATTTACACGATACTATTAAACTCGGTCGTATCATATTTATAAGTCATGACAAAATACCAACTTGGCTGCATATAGTGCGGCAATATAACAATGTGATGCGTATGTATATATTGCAAGGTCTCATGAATTCCATTCATGTTGTCATACGTACCTTGCGTGGATGTTGGTCCTGCGGTTACTGCAAAGTTTTTTTTATTTTACGATAATCATATACAATTAACAAGACATTTGAAGTTCGTTTTAATCAGCGTATTGATGATCACAACAGTCGGGAATTTAAAAAAAATCCATTTCATGATAGAAATATATTCATTTAAAACTTATCGAGCATGGTTGGTGTGCAGAAAATATTAATCTATGGAGCAAAAACGTTTGAAAGGCTTATAAAGGCTACGTAATTAATCTATAAATAATTAAAAACCTTCAATATATTTACGACTTGTAACTAAACTAGGTGACACGTTTGTAACACGTTTGTAAGCAGAAGGAAAGCGGATGGAAAGAGAAAAAATCCTAAAAAAGTCATTTATGACATGAAATTGTACATATATGTATATATATAGATAATTCATAAAATAGTGTGTGGCAAAAATAGTCAACTGTGACTGATTGCCAAACAAAATCAAATCAAGAAGAAGAAGAACAGAGCAGATTTCCGATGGGCCCTCAATATCATACAGTTTTCCACATTATTTCATTTAACGTTAATGATAATGTTTAGAGGGGAAGCTCAAAGTAACATAGGTTGGCCTAAAAAGAACATGTAAATGAAACCTTGGATTTTAAACCTTTTCAACATTTAGGAAAATCATGTGAAGAATGCCGACAATTTTGGAATTTTGCATGATTTTACGCTTGGATATGACAAAATGGCAAATCTGGGATTTAAAGCACTTCGCACATATGCTGTGTATTAAAACGTCACTAATATACCTTTTCTCAGACGAAAGCGCTCATTTATATATGTACTCTCGAAAAATTCTTTTACATAATTATATTTTTACAGAATTTTTATAAGAAATAGATCTACTACTTCATCAAAAAACAGGATAATTGGACAAATATGGAATTTCAATAATTGAACAAATGAGAGTCTAGCGCGCAATTTCAATCGCAGAGATGCCATTTTGCAGTGATCAAGTACAAACAAAACAAATGCATAACTGTCTGTCTACTTTTATAATTTGATATCTGTAGACCCGATCGTACTTTTTCAACTTTTTACAACTTTTTACACAAGTTTGATCATATACTTCTATGAGCATTTTCGGATGACAGATACCCTCGCTCGAAATGTGCATTCCCCCCCCCCCCCCTTTAATTCATCTGTTTTGACCTGTAGATAAAGGTTTGAGTTACTTACTTGTAATCATTTCGCATGTTGGAGTAGACCCGTTCCAGACAGGAAGGTATGACGATACCTCTCTTACGCACTGCAGTGTTCCACTTCCATTCAGCCTGTATCCATCATCACAAATTAGATGAACAATGGAACCAAACCATGTGATGTTAGAATCCCATGATCCGTGAAAGACGTCATCCAGCTCAACGCAGAATCCGACAGAAGCTAACGAGAAAAATACGACAACGAAGAAGAAGAAAAGAAGAAGAAGAAGAAGAAAATAAAAAAAAAGTATTACATCTGGAACCTTACAACTGTATGTAGACATATCGAAATGAAGATTACTTTAAAAATGATATAATTTGTTTAATCTAATTTTTTCTTATACAATAATGAGTCCCATCCATTCCTCCAATTCCGAGGACTATAGCCTGGTTCTTTAGGGCTAACGATTTAGTCCCCGTCGTTCGAAATGTCAAGCTTTGGGATACAGTATGTTAGGTTCAGAGTGGGATCGTAACAAGAGGGATACACAAGGGATATTAAACATATAGAAGGGAAAGCAATCGATTCAAAATTTATTGAAAGCTGATACCAGCAACCTCAGAATTTACAGGTGGATTGTAAAACTAAACCAATGTATGATCTACATGTAGCTCTCTCGGTTTACCATTATAAACTAACTGATGTGGACCACATGACCGGGCTTCTATCTTGCTGAAGGAGGATAGTCCAATGTCATCGGATGTGGAGCAAAGGCATTTATTGCCATTGATAATGGCTATAGCATGGTATGTGTCAGCTCTGCATGATGTGATACACTTGGAGATTGAATCGTATGAGGATCCGTCCTGGGGTTGAATGTTATCCAAGTCATAACATCCTTTGAATCCAGGCTCTGTCGATGAATATGGATTTATAGAAAAATAGTTACTCAACAAAAAAAAAGTAATCGACAACACAAAATTATACAAACACATTTGCTGATTTGCCCATTCTACGGATGTTTTCAGTTAATAGTTGAATGTATTGCTAGGAGAGATGTTGTAAAAGCCTCGGTCACAAATGCCATAACGAACTGCTACGAACGCCGTACGAACGATTTTCAGACAATGGAAATTTGGGAAGACAATAGAAAAACAGGGAGATTCGTACGAAATTATCGTTCGTACGAACCTTTGTGACCGTAGCATAAGTAACCATTGCATATCCCACTGATGAGTTTTGTCAGATTCTTTTTCTGGTAATTATTTCGAATTGAAAGACATTAATGTGTATATCTAATTATTATCCTGTCATTTGCATATAAAGTTTTCTTTCATTTGTTGGCTTTGCTTTGCTCAAGAATATCAAAATGGTTAAATAAATTCATAGGACGTATTACTTTTCATCCGTCTATAGTCTTGTTCAGACGGAGACAATTTACCCCGGGTAAAGGTCGTGTTAAAAGCTAGTCGGGGTAAATATGGTGAGGTAGGTGTAAAGGTCGAAGTAGTGACGGTCTGAACGACGGTGTTAGCTACGCATACATTTACCCAGACCTATTTACTCCTGGATTTATCCAGGAGTAACTCGCTTACACGACTAGAGGGTAGCGTATTAAAGTTGAACACGTGGATGCTCTCACTGACACCCGGGAGTATCTTTGACTTTTCACGAGGGTTGTTTGTTACAATCAAAAATGAAAATAAGAATTTGCACGGTTTAGATCCGCAAAGCGGGTTGAGGTTGACTAGTGCGGGCGTCACCACTTCCGTAGGTTACGTTGGTCGGTGGAAGGTCGTGCTAACTCAATCGTGGCAAGTTGGTCTAAGAGCGTGTGGACAACTGATAGACTAAGTGAAATATACATTTGTTTGTTTGTTTGTTTTATTTCCGTATAAAAGACATCATGCATTCAGTAATATAATAACAAATAGAATAATGAATAACAAGATAAAATAAACGGCTGGATAGCCCATATTCAGCGGTATCATTATGATACCGCTGGTCTTCCATGGGGACCAGAATCTTCCATGAGGTGTCTACTACTGCGGGGATTAACTTCACAGACAGGCAAACCCCGTCTCAACATGGTTCATGACTGATTCATCTCTATTGAAAAACAATCATATAATATATGAAATTCTGACATTCAGTCCATCTTTAAAAAAAACATACCCAAGACAGGTTTAAACAAAAAATTGTATTTTAGCAAAAAGAAACCATGTTTTTCCTTTAGTTTTTGACTTGATGTTTCGGACACATTGAATATGTTTAAATCATTCATCCACTCATCTCTTGGCCCACCACATATGACCATGTAAGCAGTCCCACCCCTTACAGAAAGTCCCACGTACGTGCTCTTAAAGCTCAAGACTCACCAAAGCACTTGACTTTGACCGCCTTCGACGAAATGCACTCGTTCGATGATGCAGAGCAATCATGAGAACGGTATGCGTCTGTCAAGATACATCGTAAAAGAGAATGAATTGCCTAACATACTGTACTCAGGCGCGTACACAGGGTGGGGGGGGGGGGGTTGGGGGGTTAAACTCCCCCTTTGGTAATTTTCAGTGTGTAACCCCCCCCCCCCCCCATAACCCCCCTAAACCCCCCCCCCCCCCCCCCCTTTGGATTTTTTTTTTCTTTTTTTTTCTTTTTTTATAAAAAGAAGAAAAAAAATTATTCCCATGGCTGACCTAAAAAAGGTGACCTTACCCCCCCCCCCCCTCAAGGGAGCAAAATGTCAAATTTTCAAATTTCCAGACCCCCCCCAAAAAAAAGTGTCTCTTACCCCCCTCCGCCCCCCCCCCCTACCCCCACTTATTCAACGGTCTGCTGAGTCGCTGCGATTTTTTTTGGGACCCCCCCCCCCAAAAAAAAGTGACCTCTTACCTCCTCCCCCCCCCCCAACCCCCCGCTTATTCAGCGGCTGGCTGAGTCGTTGCGAAATGTTCGGCCCGATTTATAAATGTTAACCCCCCCCCCCCCCCCCCCCTTGAAAAAATCCTGCGTACGCGCCTGACGGTACTTGTTCATTTCATGGTACGAGAAAAGTACATATTTTGGTAATTGAATCTAAAGTTGATGCTGTATTATATTCTGTTAACAAAATGGACAATTTCGTTCACATTATGGACAGTGAATCTTCATTTAGTAATGTGGAATGAGGTTATAACGCGCAGTACAACAATATTGAGTCTTACTGTTGTAAATTGTAATGAATAAAAATAGTGAGCACAAACACTGTAATTCAAAGGACTTACACATTGAACGAACGCACTATTATAGGTATAAAACGGAATAAATAAATAAATAAATACTAAACAGAAGCATAATGAAGTAGACACACACATAAGAAGACAAAAACCAAAACAACCGTGTAAAAAAAATACAATTTCCAAGCCTAGCTCCTTACTATTCTCACAGCTATGGGCCCGAATACAAACCGGGCCAGTTCTTTCAGAGGAACACCATCCTTGCTCATAGGACACTTCTTTGGCGCCAGGGAAACCAAGTTCCCCGCAGACAACCTCCGCCACCCGATCAGCCGAGTGTTCTTCACACACTCTCGTCCATTCACCTCCTGACTCAGCTTGTAGTTCAAGGAAACCCTCTGCTCGTGTATGGCCACCCGTGAGACGCCCGACTCGTATTCCTTAGAATGATTTAAAATATATAACTGGCAAATGTAAAGTATTTTGCCTGGTAGAGTCATTTCAAGATGGTTATACAAAAAGAGAGTAATTTTTTTTTTTTTTAAAGCATCATGCTGCATAATTTCATTTTGAATATCAAACAAAAAAAGAACAGATAAAGATGAATATTTGAATTCAATTTTCGTTGAAATCAAATGTATTCTAAATGTGTCGATTAAATTCCTCTCATTTGCTGTTTTATTCAGTGTTTTTGTAAATTTACCAATTATCTCCAAACACACCTTCCTCCGAACATTCGTGATAGTGTATTGCTCGTCTTCTAAGATGTCTAAAAGATGTCGATCAACTGGATAAGTATAGTTAATTGATAAGCAATGTTCGAAAATCCATACCTGACAAGTCGTAGCATGAGGCGGAAATGTTGAATCCATTCCCTGTGGGAGTTCCATCTGATCTAAATCTCAGAAGCAAGGTGTTTCTTCTGGACAAAAATGGAGAAATAGTATTTTCCTCTCCACTATAGCGCTGCCTTTCTCCATCGTCAACGGTGTCTATAACCGTGATGTCACCCAAAGGCCCTAGACTGAAGTTATTGAAGGTCAGAAGGATCATTCTCCCTTCCGGTGCAGTGACAGACCATTCTACGTTCTCAAATTGCGGGTATGTAGATGGGTAATTTCGAGATGTGATCACGAATGCATTCATGCAATTGATAGGTACTTGAACTAGGAAGAAAGATAACACAAATTACTTTAGCTGAATTTGGAAAAAATATTATTGATAAAAAAAAAATATTCATACAGTACATGTACTTATCGCTGTATGCCATCATGGGTCATAGGGTAATTGATTGTGTTCGTATTGTTCTTAAAACGACTTATCACCTTGTGTCAATGATGGTGGTTTTCAATGTTAATGGATAGCACTTAACCTCCACATGGTCTAAACAATTCATTACGGTATTTCTGTATTCGTAGTCGAAAGCATGTTATCTTTCACCATATGGTGGTAAGAAAATTTCTTGTGCTCTAATCGTTTAACCTCCTGTCACCAAATGTGATCCAAAAAGACTGCGGCCCTACATCTCATGATAAAAATTACATCGACGTTTTCGAGTTTTATTATTTATTTCATTTTAGTTCCGTAAAAAACAAGACGTGAGATAAAAGGCTAGCAAAGATTATTCCATCGATATTCATATAAATGAATATTCAAGAGTTCGCTGTCCATTTATATTTTTTGTTATTTTACATTATCGATAAGGCACTGCTTTAATTCAAACTTACTTTAATGAAGCCGTTTATGAATTACATTTTTTATAATTACCTGTACAGGCGGCCTGGGTAAGGATAACCATGAGAATGACAACATGACAGTATTGTCGAGCGATTTTCAGTACCATCGAAGTTTGCAAAATGAGTGCCTGGATAGCAGTCTGAAGGACAGAAGTGCTCCCTTGTGTGCCCTCAAAGGGGGGATGGGGCGAGTCATTGAAACTGTGACAGTATAGCTCCTCTGATGTCTGCAGAATCTTGTCTTGTACAGTCTTTGATCTGTGCAGACTTTTGGTCCTGTAGGAGTAGGAATTGTCAGGTGTAGGCTGACCCGCAGAGTTGAAGGTGTTTGGTCTGGGCTGTGATTCGGACCGGTAGGAGTGTGAACCGTCAGATTTACGTGGACCCACAGAGTGTAAAGTCCTTGATGTCTGCAGACCTTCGATGTGGGATTCCCTAGACAACTGTCGGAGACCCACAGAGTTAAGGACCTTTGATCTCAGCAGACCTGTTGAGTGTAATCTCTTTGATCCCTGAAGACCCTTACAGCGTATATTTGTGTACCCTTTCATACCTAGGGATAGAAAATTCATGGATTTTCGTACTTTTTGATCAGCAGAATTGTCAATCACCAAAAAGAACAGTTCGTCTAGTCGTGAAGATGTAGATATCAAAGGTGCTGCTACTTTGGAACGCCCGAGGTTGGTTCTCAGAATAGTTATATTCTGTATCATCTCCAATGTAATGCTTATTACAAGTTGTACCTCTGACACAATATGACACAACTCAGGCCGCCAATTCCGAGAGTTGGAATTCATCGAACTCTTTCGATCCTCCGATTGATCGTACTCTGCATAAAAAGAGGAACAAATTGATTAATTCTTCTATACAAATAATGATCATTCGCCGACATTGTATAACACAGGTATTCTGATAAAGGTGGTGTTGACGAAATTTATGATAAAATAGCTGGGAAAACGGGGTCAGAGACACAACGACATTTACCAATAAGATCATAATAAATTATACTGGCAAAAGTCTGGTGAAAATGTTAACCTGTGGAGGTTTCGTAAAATATATCTGTTCATCTACATGACTTTCGATCAAAGGGTTGAAGATTCGAATCCTAGCCCGTCACAAACGTCATTTGCCGCTCTCCACACACCTGTAAATGGGTACCTTGCAAAATGTAGGGGTGATAAGAATTGCAGGGCCCGCAGGAAGAGTTGCAGGGCCAATATGAAGAGCAGTATTACTACTGACGTCGCCACCATGAGAAATATTAATAGGAGACCTTTCCATGAACAAATAACAGGGTATCAATGACACTGCGGCAAGTAGCTCTGATTATGAAATTCAAATGGTTAACATGATTATATGAAGAGGTTAATTCCAAAAGGAGCTAAACCCATTTTTGTAACTTCGGAGAAAAAAGAAATTGTTTACTAGATTTTGTACAGGTGTCTATGGAAACTTGACATGAAAAGGTGTATTCTATCATAATTGCTCCCAAAATTTAGGTAAATAATTTTTTTGAAAGACGGGTACTTATAAAGTAAATAATCATCTGATACCAATAACGCAATTTTCATCAAAAGTGGATTTAGCTTCTTTTGGAATTAAGCTCTTCATATTATGTACGTAGGTAGAGTGTGTATAATGTATATTTGACTTTACCTTCGTTTGTAGAATTGCGGGAATGCGGGAGTGGCTCATCATGATGTTGACAGCAGCCTTTTGTACATATTGTATTAATGTCCTCAGTTATGTAGGTTGGAGGTCCATTGTTTCCAACATGCTCTAATCTGGTATATAAAATGAAAGAAACAATAGTTTTAAGTAAAATATTGATCAAAAAGGGACACGAGGTACCCTAAAAATGGTAGTTCGATTTGAAACCATCTATGCGTAATATGGTACTGATGTGTTTAAAAGATATTTCAAGTACAAACACAGCTTTCTTTACACATCGGTTTTATGTGTTTTGGGGTGGGTTTTTTTGTGTGTGGTGGGGGAAGGGAGCTGATGTTTGTACATACATCCAACCCCCACCGAAACATCTAGATCTAAATGAAGAAAACTGTTAAAATTCGAGCGCTTGTTCAATGAAAGGGTTGAAGTTAATAAAGCTACATTTCTTCATCTTTCGCCATCATTCATCCCGGCTGGACAATTTCCAGAGACACGGTATGGTAAAGTAGACTATTGTATTTATACGTATCAATGGAGGGGAATAATGTTTATAGCCTTAAATTCATGATCCTCCTTAACCGTTTTCATTTTTGGGCAATAATAGCAAAGGTTGCGAAATTTTATAGACAATGTACTGCCAAAAAAATAAAATCCCAGCAGCATTTCGGTAAATGAACATAATTACATTTGAAATACATCATAACGAAGGATATTGTTTTCCTTTCATATGATACTATATTCGTTATTAGTTATTGCTGTCGTTGACATCATCAAGGTGTTTATTTCCCATTAACAAGTGTTTTCAATCACCAAGAGTGGACTTCACTTTTACGACCAACAGGTCTTGTATAATGCATAGTGGCCTACCTCTACAAGGAAATTTTAATCATGATATAAAATCTCCCTCAGCCTCGTCTATAAAACATATCAATTTATTTATTTATACATTATGTTTTCTTTGGAAAAACAGGGTATTCCCATTCAGTACCAAAGATGGCCTGCTTCGCAAGGGGGCCCTGCTAGGAACGAAATAATACAACATGAGTATTAAATATTTTAACAAGTAAATGGCAATTTTAACATGAAGGCAAGTTAGAGGTTTTCTTGGTGGGACCACGGAATCGCTACTTCAGATACCTTAGCACACACAGACAAATGAATTGTTTCTTCGTATTCTGGTCAGCGAAATATGATGTGATACTGCAGGGTCACAGACTACTATGTGTCTTTGTAAATGCATCCACACAATAAATGGCCATTCATTGGATCTCACTCTGCTTTCATTTTCTTTTGGTGATTAAATCCAAATGTCCTGTCCATTTCGGGCTATATATGGACTCATATCATACATTTAATGTGGAAAGAAGAATAAAGATGATGAAATAAGTGTCTTTATCTCATGTTTTGTTTATTTGCCTTGTACTTAAACGGAAATACATCATACATCACTGCTGTGCGCAAATTTTTGTTCACACCACCTACATAAAACCTTTCAAATTCAATAATGCATGACAATATTGTATTAAGCATGTCTGGTATCATAGGAGCCTGTTTGGCAATCAATTTTATTTGGGGGAATTCTATTCAATTATTCGTTCATTTAGTTTCATGGATTCCATATATTTGTGTGTGTTATGTGTGAGTGAATGTATTTTTTTCTATACATCTCTATATCTGTGTATGTATTTATATGTATATGTGTTTTTGTGTGTGTATAAAGAGACATATTTGCATATGCTTGATGTGAGGTATATCATGTCAATCCTCTTGTTGTTTATGGAATTTCTTGTTGCTTCGTATTGTCATCTCCGGACGAATTCAGGGTTTGAAAAACCAAACCTAGATAATATATTGGTCCAGTGGACCTTCCCCTTTTAAGACAACGTCTTTTTCTGTTTTATGTATTTTATTTGTTTATCTTGTTGTACTTTGCACCTCTTGTACTGAAACTGAGTTAACTGTTTTCTATTTACAAAATGAATATGTTGTGCCTGAAATGTCAAGGGACGTCAACTATATGATTGCTTCACTAAACTATGTAACAACAAACTTTGAAGCTTTCAGCCATTTGTTGTGTTTACCTAATAAAATATCAATGACAATGCAAGAAATAAAAAGATTGTGACAGAGTAAATATCTTTTGGTTTCTCTCTTTATTCGTCGAACTTTCGATCTATTTCATGATAACAGTGAAACACAAAATGATGGGTTGAATGATACATGGAATTGCGTAAGTGTAAACATATAAATAAAGATGTCAATCCAAGCCATAATTATATGTTCCCTTGTCTCAACATCCTGACCAATTTCATTGTCATTGGTGTTTCATTGCGTGTATGCGATATTCGATTCGAAAGAGGTATTACCATTTCACTGAAAATCACATTTATGTTTGATACTGAAAATAGTCACACTTTTATTATTCAGAATGTTGGACTTTATATCTAAAGAATGAGGGGCCGATTATTATACTGAGCTCTAATAAACTACATGGGAGTTGTCACCATACGCCACACCCTCTCCCCCTTGGTTCATGTGTCCATTCTGTCATTCAGGTCATATACATGTACGGCCTGGTCGCCCTGGTGACGTTCATGACCGTCAAGTACATGCCTTACGCATGTTATTTTTTCCAGACACAATGGAGCCACGGCCACAGACAGAAAAACATTTGTAGATATTTAGAGGGCGCTATTTAGGTCATACGTGACAATTAGAGCGTGAAATTCAACTTGGATGAGAACAATGCTAGTATCTAGATATTATCAAATTTGAGACGAAATGTAACTGGTATACGTAAGTAATGGCAATTTAAGGTGTTAGGTGTAATTTTTTAAAGAATTGTAGGTCAGGTTTTAAGCCGCACATGAGATGAAAGAACATCTCTGGAACTATTTAGAGGAATTTGTTAGAAGTCAGTATGATCTAGGATAGTGGAGAAACGAAGAAAGAAAGGCCTTAAAACGGACCAGAAAAGGACAAAATGGCGCCTGGATGGTTGCGCATCAGTGATTTAGGAAACAAAGGGTCAGGTGACCTTAATTAGATGCCGGAGATTACGCCTATGAAGTTTCTGAAAAATATTGAATTCATCTTTTAATGGCAGGTAAGTCTCCTCTATTCCTATCAACTCCGCCAATTCACACTTCGCTCGCTATGGTCTACCTGATCGTAAATACTTTAGCCCCCCCCCCCCCACCCCCAATTTCAAAAACGTTCCGCGGGGCCTGTTAACATAGAACGATATAGATTGAGCCCTCTTTATGTTCCGATACATAAGGGATTAGCGTATCAAGTCAATGATCTTTATCAAGCTGTCTATCATCTCTAAACATGTGTATCATTTGAGTTTTTGGGGAACAATCCAAGAGTCTTGTCTTTCACTTCAGCTCTCTTTGGTGTTTATGGCCTTCAATAAATGTACATTCCTAACAGATTTGTATATTTTAGACGTGATCAAAATTCTTTTAATAGTTTCTAATTTTAGTCTATATTTCGTTCGTGTTTTGTTTTGTTACGTATTTTAAAATTTAGTTTTTGTTGGAGTTGTATCTTGTTTTACATTGTATTGTGATTGTTTCATGTAATACAGGGCTCTCTTGCAAAGCCGTTTTTACGTACTGAAGAGACCAACCTGTATATGGAACACATAAAACATAAATACATGTACGAATAAATATATATTTCTAGATGTGTAACGGTATCCACTGTCAATATTCCAAGATAAATATTCTAACTGGAAATTAGATTACAAAATAAACATCAGAAGTGAATCATACTCCCTTCAGAAGCTGGGAATACGCTTATCGTGCATCATCATGAAACATTGGGCTAAAACGTTTATGCAAATTATGCAAACTGCCCAACATTGCCCGCATGTTGAAATTGTTCTCTAACAACATGAGATCACGAATCACCACCATGATCATCAACTACAACAACAACAACAACAAACACATCTTCAACGAAAATACCTTGTGTAGGCTCATGAATTACAAAGTCCACTATCCTACCGTTTATTTTGGGGGAACCACCTTGAACAACTGATGTTCCATATGTTACCAGCGCCAAAATGCCTTATCTTTGCCAAGGTATAGACTTCAGAAAATTAAGACATGCTAATGTGGGTGTAGTCCAACTTCTCATCATTTTCACAATACTAATAACATTTGTCAAATTGTTTAATCTATTTACTAAGAAGTAGGGTTTCTGCGATTGTATGTAACTCATTCCGATAACCTTATATTAATAGTGGCAATTACTTGGATCAACACAATTTAGAGTTGACGACTCAAACATGATATATTTTATACTCACTGTTTGCCTAGATTCTGCTAAATGTGAAATGAATCGTGGAATGAGGCGTCGAATATATTTCCTCAGGCGTCGAATATATTTCCTCAGAAATATTATCCAATTATAGTGGAGCTAAAAAGATTCACACATTATCTTACACAGTCAATTAAAAGTAAACTGCAACAAGTGACATGAGAGATCTCCTCTACAACGTGTTATAAAGGCGTTTACAATGTCTCTTTCGCAAAATGAATCCGGTTTAACAGATGCCAAAACATGCAGTGTGTCGAATAAAATGATCTACATATCAATATAATGCAGATTCCCTTCGCATAAATGGGCTTCGTTCCATCGGAACAAATAACCAGTATATGAAATGGAGGACATATGCTGCATGAATATGTATTCCACCGTCTGGTAACGTGAAATTGAGCAGGAAACTGATGCAAGGCAGTTGGATCATGTGGTCCAATAACAAAACCAGAGGAAAGTACATAAAACTAGAGCTAACCAACCAAACAAAATAATACATATCTCTCGTTCAGTGAACCGGTCATAATGGGCATTGTGATAAAAACACTAATATTATGTGACAAAGTGGCGAATTCGCTCACGAAGTGGAAACCTTAGTCTTTTCCCAGACAGAAAGAAATATAAATAACGATAAAAAAAATCATTTGGTTGTACTCGATTGCCCGCTCCTCATTTTCGGGCCGCTCGTATTTTTTTTAATTTTAATGATACTTTATATATATATATATATATATATATTTTTTTTTTTTTTTTTTTTTTTTTTTTTTGGGGGGGGGGGGGGGTT